GTACACAGACACGTGTGCTTCCAGGGTTACAGCCGTCACACTTAGAACAGCCAAGACACAGACCTGGGACGAGGTCCATCAACAAACACTTCATTTCCAAGAGATGACTAAAACCCCAGATAATGTTATATTTCTATACATAATCTGGGGTCAGAATGAAGAAGAAAGGGAAAAGAAAGACCCCAAGGCTTCTAACAGACACACACACACACACACACACGGCAGAACACATAAGATATTCAGTGTATACCAATTAAAGAAGTCCACTGTTCCTCAAGATGCTTCTGGGACACAGTTTTATGTTGCAGGGCTTCCAGTTCACAATCCTTCTGCAGTGTCTAGCCATTAGTACCGTGCAGTTTCTCTCCATATCAAGACAGTTTTCACCTCTCGACATGTGGCATTTTCATATATCCTAAATGTCATCACACTGAACTAGAAAATCCTGTTTGTAGCACTTGTCTTCTTTCTGTTTTAGATCTTCAAGATGTAACAAGAACCACAGACATCTCTAAAGAATGTATCCAGCTGGGGCTGGAGAGATGGCTTAGTGGTTAAGAGCACTGTCTGCGCTTCCTAAAGACCTATGTTCAATCCCCAGCACCACATGGCAGCTCACAACTGTCTGTAACTCCAGTTCCAAGGGATTTGATACCTTCACACTAATGCACATAAAATAAAATTAAATAAATAAAATTAAAAAAAAAAAAGAATGTATCCAGCTAAATAAAACTTACCCTAAGCTGTGAAATTGCTGCTCTGCCCTCCTCACTCTCCTCGTCAAGTTCATCGTCACTCCACTCCCAGCCCCCGTCCTCTGTCTTATGGAGACGGCCGCTGGAGCCTGGCACTCTCCGAACCTGAGCAAGGAAAGCCATGTGATTATGGTAGTGGTTTGTATATATAACAGGAACCTCAACCTTATTTCCCATTCCTTCCATCACCTAAATAAAATACTAACTAGATCATTATTATGCTGGTAAGTGCACCCCTAAAAACTCACACCCTCCAACCCTCAATCTACTCTACCCAATACTTTAACCACAACCTTCTCACACTCTAAATGAACCCCAGCAATATATTTTAGGTTAAGGCATTGGGGGAAAAAAATAAATAAATATAAATAAATAAAATATACCAAGACATTTAAAGAGGAAGAAAAGAGGTTTCAAATACATCATAAACAAACCCAAGGTAAAGAATATATTCTTAGCTGGGCATGGTAGAACATACCTGTGATCCCAGTACTCAGAGGGGCAGAGGCAGGTGGATCACTGTGAGTTTGAGACAGCCAGGAAAGCCAAAGGTGCACAGAGAAACACTGTCTCAAAAAACCAAAAAAGAATATATTCTTTTTTCAACTTTTTTTTCCTTTTGTCTTTTAGGTCAGTCTTACAGTGTAGCTCTGGCTAGCCTGTACCTTGCAGTTCAGACCAGCCAGGCACTGAACTGACACAGATCCACCTGTCTGTCTCCTGAGTATGGGGATTAAAGATGTGTACCACCATGCCCAGCTTCAACTTTTTAATCCGAAATTATAAATTCTACTTCACAGAGAGTTCAAGAGCCAGGCAAGTGTTGACAGGAAAACCAGTACTCTCTTAACCTCCACTGGACACTGGACAAAGGATGTGCTCAGTGGTCAAACACTAGCCAAGGATACAAGATGCTAGGACCAGTGCTCAGTACTGGAGGGGAGAGGTTGTAATGGATATTATGTGCTAGCCAAAGTGGTATGTACCCAGTTCTTTTGGGGAGCAGAAGAACAGGCATTCAAAGCCACCATTGGCAATAAGTGAATTAAGAGGGCAGCGTGGACTACATGAGACCCTGACTCAAAAAAACAAGTCCACTATCTTCTTCCTAATTTAATTTTCTTTGGAAGTTTATATTCATCTCTGTAATAGGTGTGTTACTGCCTGGTCCCCCACCCCTTTGGGGGGGGGCTATTTTAAGAGTATGGAATTTTCCACAACAAAGTTGAAAATGTCACCATAATCAGTGTCCTACTTCCTTCTTAAAAGTCTTTCTTAGTAATCTCTTTTCCCTATACTCAGAAACAGTAACTATTCCAGCACTGCTGCCTTCTTAAAGAAGCTTTAACAGAGCCAAAGAATACTTCCTGATCTCATCACCTCTGGTCTTATGTAGTTCCTCCAATACTGGCTTATACATTTATTAAAGCTAACCATTTTTTTTTCAAATTTTAATTATTAACATGTATGAGCGTTTGCCTGAATGTATATCTGTGTACCACAAGACGGAGACCAGGGGAGAATCTTAATCTTAGATTCTCCTAGAACTGGGATTAACAGTCATGAGCCACCATGTGCATGCTGGGAATTGAACTAGGTCTTCTGCAAGAACAGATAGTACTCTTAACCACTGAGCCATCTCCACAGTTCCTAAAGGCAGATGTTTTCACCTTTCCTCAATTCCATCTCAAACTAGTTTCATGACATGGTTAGGAAAAGGGTCCAACCTAGATGAACCCAAGCTAGAACTGACCTGAAAACTTCCTCTCCTAGTTTTTGTGGTACAAAAGGTGCCAAGGAAGCTTCTAAGAGAGAAAAGAACCGATAGCCCTACCCAGCTATAACACCCATGAACCACAGCAGCAACCTACCCAGCTGTAATACCCATGAACCACAGCAACAACCTACCCAGCTGTAACACCCATGAACCACAGGAACAACTAACATGTCATGGATAAACCAGAGGACACACATAATACTGACTTCCATACCTTGGTAGTAAACAGCAGCTCTCTAATTGGACTTAAGGCCTGCTCAACAAGAGGAAAACTATGTCTGGTACTAGAATGGATCTTGGAGGAGAACCCATAATTCCCACTTTTACTAAGCCAATACAATCTCTAACTAACTTGGAATATCTGTCTCTTGCAGAATCTGAAATTCATCTATTTGGCTTGGCTGGGTAAACCAATAAGCTTCAGGAATCCATTAGCCTCCCATCTCCTCCCTCTCCCCAGGCTAAGGTTATAGGTATGCTCGCCCATGGCTGGCTGTGAGCTGTGCTCTCATGCGTTTGCAGCAGACACTCTATCCACCGAGCCATCTCCCATTCCCAGCCCCAGAATTTAATTCCGAGGCAGCATCTCACAAAGTAGCCTAGGTTAGCCTCACGCTTTCAATGCTGTTTTAGCCGCCAAAATACTGTATGTGTATGGCTACAGGTACACGCCATGAAACCCAGCTTGTGTTATTCCTTGAGGTTCACTGATCTTAAAAAAAAAAAAAAAAAAAAAAAAAACCCTATAGACACTATAAACAATTTCAATTAGGATTTACTACCACTACAAGCAGAGATGTTTTAAATTGCATTCAAATTATTTGCAAATGTGTCCTGTGTACAAAGAACTAACACAGGCCTATAAGATGGGGCAATGCAGTAAGCTTTGTTCAAACAGTGTAGAAAGGCTGTCTCCTGTTAGATGGTGACAGATAGCTCGAAGGAGTGAAGTAGAACACGATGGACTAGAAAGTTATGCGAAGGCACCACTGTAGTTTAGGCAGTCAAAGAAAACTATTTTGAGGAAGTGCTACACTAATGGCCTAAACTAAAGTGGAGCAATACACAGTGTTTTCCCAAATAACCATTCGGACTTTCCCATTCCCCAGACATTAGACTTCAGGCATCTGGGATGAGGTGACTGTGCTCTGAATCCCTTGTGATTCTGGTGGATGACAGCAGCTGATAAACACAAGGGCAAAGAACAGCAAGTGAAAATAAGAAGGAATCTTCTCTACAAGGGAAGCAGTGTAACTTAAGGTCTAGGGGAGAAAAAGCAGCTTCTCAGGAACACTTCAGAAGAAATTGGAGATCTGGTCATAACCAGACTTCAGCGTCCCTAGCTGCAGAATTACAAAGCTCTGAAGAGAAGGCAAACTAATGTGCTATTAGTGACTGTTAGTGAGATATAAACTTAGAATGTTTAACGTATCCTTATTCTTTGTTAAGGAAAACCTTCTGTATAGTGACAGAAACCTCAAGAAGTGAAATGTATAGTTAGTCAGCTTCTACCAGATGGTCCTGAGTTCCCAGGGAGGCTTCTACTCTAGCATATTCCAGAATGGGCCCAACATCCAGGCAAGCCTTCTACTCTAGCATATTCCAGAATGGCCCCAACATCCAGGAAGGTTTCTACTATAGCACAAGGAACAGAAGTCCTTGGTCTTCTCCCCCTAGTCCATCATCAACAAAATCCAAGGGAGAGCATCTCCTTCACATATGCTAAGTCTCCCTTAAGGGAAGAAGAGTAAGAAAAATGGTTTGGGGTTTTTTTTTTTTTTTTTTTTTTTTTTTGTGTGTGTGTGTGTGTGTAATGGCAATCATGTATATTGTCCAAACCAGGACTTTAATGCATTCCTTAGGTTCAAAATGTGAGTAAAATTCTTAGAAACAACACACACAAAACAACATGCTTTATTTGTCTTGAGCGAGGAGGTAATACGACTTACACCCCAAGCTCTAAGTGCTATGCAAAATCTTCATCTCGCTCTGAGTGGCTACAAACAGAGATTCAACAAGAGGTAGAACTACCTCACCAACTGCCATGCAGCCTGCCTTGATATGCTAGGAGACAGCAGAGTATACAGCTGACAGGTTTTTGCTGACTGGACATATCAAATGCTTTAAAATGCTTAAAATTAAGAATCTTCATTTCTATTAACAGAATAACACTCACTGAAAAGCACAGAAGAAGCAACCCAATCCCTGAAGTCTACCCTAAGCAGCCTAAGAAAACTGAGTTAAACACCGCCGCTACCTTCTTAGATCTTTCAGAAATGGTAGGCGCTCTCTGTAGTATTTTTTCTTGAAGAAATTCTTTATTCTGGAAAAGAAAAGTTAGTTTTCAGAACTTTTTATTACTGAAATCTGACACAGAAACGTCAATCACGGTTAATAGGTGATAAGTAAACTATTTTGTGAAGAAATGAGGAAACACTTCCTTTTTCCAGCTGTAGACAGACCTTTAGTGTGTACTAGGAACCATTTCCTATGAAAGGTCGCATCTGTTGCATTTCCAAATGCACTAACACAGGATGTCAGGATGCGGGCTCTAACCCTGGAAATGGGGGCTCAGCTGCTCACAGGCCACTTCTAAACGAGAGAGAGAATGCTCGTGTGCATGAGCAGCATGCGTGCACTCCGCCCAGCAGCCACCTGTCTGTAGGTGAGGTCTCTCACCAAGACTGGAGGGTCACCACTAAGCCAGTTTTGCCAGCAGAGAGCTCTGGGATGGGTCTCGCCTCCCAGTCAGGGGCTGGAAGCCAGGTCTCCACATCTCATCTTTTGTTGTGGGTTCTAGAGATCAAGGTTAGGTCCTCATGCTCCTCAAAAACAGCTGCCTCACTCACCAAAGACTGCATACATAACACCTTTAGTAATTATCTGTCATCACCTCTCCACATGGAAGCATCTGAAGTCCAACTTGTAACAGTGAACACAAGTGCGCAACAGAGGAGCACCATATGAATGTACACACTCAAAGCTGGCATGCCCACCTTTGCTTTCTGGAAAAACTTGTGCCTCAACAGTTCTGCTGCTGTTGGTCTAAAAGCAGAAAGGAGAGTTTAGTTTTCAAGCATAATGCGAATTTCCATCTTCAAAAATAAGAAATTATTTCCTGAGCGGCAAACTGAAAACTCAGTATATTCCAGTTTCCTTCACCTGCCAAAAAACAAAATAATCTTGGCATAGCACACTAGGTAGAATAAAACTCACACAGAAAATGTTAATGACTGGCTGGGTAGTAGTGGCGCACACCTTTAATCCCAGCACTTTTTGAAAGGCAGAGGCAGGCAGATCTCTGAGTTTGAGGCCAGCCTGGTCTAGAGAGTGAGTTCCAGGACAGCCAGGGCTACACAAAGAAGCTATAGAGGCGGGATGGGAGTTGGGGGAAGCATCCTAATGACAATCGTAGACTCTTTGAAAAGTTCATTACAAAATACTGTTTCTAGAAGAGAATTCTTACGGACTTCCAAAATGTTTGCTACTTAGCGATATCATTTTTCAGGGAGCTATACATTAACCATTCAAAAGTTTTAGCAAAGCATAAAAACTCATTTAAACCGGGGGAGGGGAGCAACATTTGGTTCTTGCTACATAGTAGCCCAACAGGATTCAATTTAAGGCAACTACAGATTCTTAGATTTCTCAATTTCCCTTTATGAAAAAAAAAAAAAGGAAAAAAATTAAATTTTCCAAACTTAACCCAAATTCAGTTGAGTTTAGTTATGCATGATCTTGAATGGAGTAAATTCATTATCAACTTTACTAGCTTTTAAAAGAGGATCACTAAGAATAAAGAATTTACTCTTCAAAGACCACACCTAATTCTACCACATACTTACCATGTAATGCTATTTCTTGGAAATTAAGAGTACGAACACTGCTGAGGATGGACGCTTACACAGAACCTTGCACAGCCTGGTAAGCATTCACCCCTAAGTGTAACTGCAGTGTGAACAGTAGCTATGCACTGCTAGCTACACACTGCTATGCACTAGAATAGAGGTATTTCCAACACCCACTCTAGGCTTCATCCCACCAAACAGAGCACAGTGTCTGGGAGGAAGAGTCAGTACCGGCACTTCACAGGTAACTCCAACTAAACATTGAGCTCGGGAACACCAACGCTTCCAAGATTGATGCCGATTAGGAAATGAAAAACGGCAACTGTGTATAACATGAGATTAAACAGTGGCATTTTTCATTTGGTAAGGATTTCAATGTTTCAATGTCTTCTTTGCCTAGGATAACAGCTTACTATTTCTTTCTTCTGTGTCCATTTCCTTTTTTCTGAAGTACAACTTTTGGAAGAGTGAAGTCAAAGAATGTAACTACAAAACTCAATTATTACAAAAAAAAAAATCTTAACTTCATATTCATTCTTGAATAAGAATCTGAGCAGCTGGAGAACTGACAGTTATTCTTGCTCAGGGTTCTGAACCAAGTGCTGGCCTCACCCCTGTGACTACAGGAGGCAGCTGTGTACCTGTAGTTCCTCAGCAGGGAATTAATGAGGTCGCCTACAAGGAATGCACAAGCAGGAGAGAAGGTATACTGTTCGGACTTTGGAACACATGATTCTTTAATATGTGTATTCAAGGCTTCAGTACTAGAAAGTCTTTCCATTCTTATTCTTATTATTTTAAGTCAACATTTGCAAGGCTGGCCTCAAACCTGGCTCAAGAGCCACAGATGGTCCATAAACTTCTGATCATCCTAGCCACACCAAAGTTCTAAAATGATAGGCCTGTGCTAGCACAGGTTTATTTCAGCGGTTACTTGAATATCATTTCTCCATTCTCTTTATTCTCTCCTTGATAAGTCTAGACATTTGCATGTAAGCATTTGTGGATTTTGTAAAACAGAGAAATAAAAAATGCTGTCCTGGTAAGATGATTGTGAAAATTAAATGAGATGGCATAACTGCTTTAAAAGTTATGGCAATAGCTGGTACTTAACCAGTCAACAGTTGGGTTTTTGTTTTCTTTCATTTTTTTTCTATTTAATGAGTTGTGTTTTGTGTTATTTGACCTTAACATGCTTAAACAACACTTAATTCTAAGTTTTAAACTGGAATGTATTTTCCATACTTCCCAGAGATTTAAAAATCTATGTTTTTGAAACAGTTTTAACTTATGAAAGAGCTGAATAGTATGCAATTCTTTCATATCCTTCACTAGCTCCATGAAGTTAATTAACATTTTATATGATCAAATTACAATTATCAAGAAACCAAATCATTATTACTAGTACAAGCTTTCTAACTAAAAACTACAGATTTTACTCAAATTTCTTCAGTTTCCCATGGTGCCTTCTCTGTCAAAGCACCTGCAGCACACCTTGTGAAATCTATTCTCCATGCCCAATTAACCTCTTCTAAAACTTTGCTTGATGCTTTTTTTAAAAAATACTGGTCAGGTATGCTATGGCATATTCCTAAATGTGGGCCTCTCTACTACTCTCTCACTACAAACTGCAGTCATGGAACAGGGTAAAGAAGGCTTTACAAGGCGATGCGCCGTTCTTACTCATCGCTTGCGGAGGTTCACTACGCTGTGGCCTTGATCACTAGGTAGAGAAGGTGCCTACCAGGCTTCCTCACTGTTAAGGTATTTTTCTTCACAATTTACTCAATCAGGAGCAAATCACAGTCCAGCCCACACAAGAAGAATCTGTGGTTTTACATGTTAACTGAACCTTTCTGTTCTCAAATGCTTGCTTGATTCTTTGGTCATAAACAGTCTTTTCCTAAGGTTTTGATAAATGGTTTTCATAAATTCAAAGATTTGTATTCATTTCGGCGACCACTGCATTATCCAAACTTCTTGAAGAACCAGGGCTGCTGTCTGCCCGCCCTGGCTCACGGTACAATGCCACCATGTAAGCAGCAGCTTGGATGGATGGCTGGAGCTGGGCATGCTGTTCCCAGCAGCCTTGGAGCCTGGCTTTGCAGGTTCTGAGACCCCTGCAGCCCCAAACTGTAGGTGCCTGACAACAGTGTTTCCACATTGAAGTCCTGAGAGGTGTTGGGTATGAATTTAGTGTGGGGAGTACAAACTCAGACTCTCAATGTGTAGAAGTCAGGTCACTTAACGTGGACCGACTGTGCTGCCTCGGGAGTGGCGGCAGTGTCTAAGCCTTGCCATCTCACTGAGAAGAGAGGCTGCGGGAATGTAGGTGGTATGCATAACACCCAGAGGCCAACACTCATGTATAAACTGAAAATACACAATTTATAAAAAGGAGGAAGAGGTTTTCTGATAGTCCTATCTCTAGGTAGAAACTCAGCTGAAGATCCCCTCCAGGTAGACCCAAGGTCCCAATCCTGAAAGTCAGAGCACTGGAGTCAGAAATCCAACCTAGTAGCTCAGCGTGAGTAGTATTCCATGGTGGTAGCCACTGGATCAGTTCACATTTCCTCTGTAATTTACGGATTCATTGTTTCTGGCACCTCAGGATCTTTAAGTCTGATGGATTTTTATCTGTTACTTCTAGATATTTGTAAAAAAAAAAAAAAAAAAAGGAATCTGTTGTTTTCGTCAGCTAACTTGGCAGAAACAAAGTCATTCCCTATCAGTTTTAGACACCGCTGAGAAACAAAAAATTCTAAGAACATACACATGAACTTTGCTGCCTGTTTTTCTTACCCTTTCCAATATTTCCAACAGTAAATTCTGAAGCCCCATTACATATACTAGACATATGATCAAGGATGTCAAAGTCTTTTACTTTTGTCGACCTTTAGAGAAAACAAAATTAAACAACTTTAGTGCTAAGAAACTTAGTGGAATACACAGTCGCCCCGTGGTATCCCGAACTGGTTCCAGGACCCCTTCACCAATACCAGAACCTCGGATGCCTTATATTTAAATGGGGCAGGATCTGTGCAGAACCCACACAGCCCTGCCGCACTTATACCACCTCCAGCTTAACTAGAGTGGCTGCTATGTGCCAACTCTGTGCCGACAGCTGATACACTGGGTTGCTCAAGGAGGCTGATGAGCTGAGTGCTATCACAGTCTGATCACAGCACTCGATGCACAGGTGGATGAACCTGTGGATGTGGAGACAGCGCATGTGGGACGGTGATGTACACGCAGAAGACCAGAGAGCAAGATACGGTGGATGCAGCCCCGCGTCAAGGATGGCACACTTCAGACTCAAGTTCTACCACTAGGATATGTGTGACGTAAAAACACAAGGTTCCACTCAGGGATCTCCCCTTCAGTGCTGTTCAGCAGCAACTAAATTAAATACCCTTACTTAAGGACCTGCTGCTTAACAATGTCAAAGCCGACAAAGAAACTATTTGAAACTTTGATTACTAACATCTTTCCAACATGAAAAGTAAAATTATTTGACATGAAATATAAATGAGTTATGTTAGAGTTCTTTTGTTATTAAATTGAAAATGTCAGTTATACTTTAAGTACAAGCTGGCATTTTACTAGTACAGAATTTGCAAGATATAATTTTATAGTTTTAAGAAATCAATCAAGAAATATCTGGACAACTTAGATATACTATATACTTATAAGAACACAGAAGTCAACTCAATCACTTCCAACCTTGTAAAATGGCCTTTATAAATGCTTCCAAAGTTTGCAATTCATTCATTTTTATACACGCGTACTACCGTGTATACATGTGATTTTTTTGGGCTTCCCACACAAGTTCATGTGGCAAAAGAAACATATCACATTCATATAATATTTTACCTTTTTTCTGGGTCCTTTTGGAGGCACAATGAAATCATTTTTCTAAATGATTTCCCGTATTTTTTTAGCATTTCTTTATCTTGAACACCAGTTTCCAAAGAAGGAGGATCGTTCTGGAGTGTCAGCATTAAAACCTGGAAAAAATTTCAGTACAATATAAGAGTTTCCAATAGGAAAAAAGCTTTCTAATATACAAGCAGATTTTACTTTTTAGAAGCTGACATCTAAAGGCTGGAGATAAGTGCTGTATAAGGATAAGGACCCGAGTTCAATCCTTCAAAACTCAAATAAAAAAAGCTGGGTGTGGTGGTTCATGCACCTCCCCAGTAAGCACTGACAGCCCCGCTGCTGTCACCAGAGCCTATGAAGAGCAGATAAATAGAGAAGCCAAGGAGGTTGGATAACAGACACCCAAATGCAGTTAGACTTAGGAAGAGTCCTGTGTTCACAGTCTAGCAAGACGATTGTAGCTCTGAATTCTGTATGCACTTTATGAACATCTACATAAAAGAGCTCAGTGGCTCTGAACCCAAGGAAAGAAAGAGTCTCAATATGGTCATGGCTCTATGTCATGAACATATTTATCACTTAAATAATACACATTCAAAAATGGTTTGTCCTGGGTTTGATCCCAATACAATGCAAAATTGGTTATGCTGGTAATTTTATTGGAAAGATTCTATTTTGCTACAACACAAACACACAAGTCTAGGAAAACAAATAACTGTAGGTATGACTGGCAAGTGTAAATGGCTCTAAAAGTAATGGGAACTTGAGTTGGAACAATGTTTTGAATATGAGCCTCACCTTCATTGGTGGGTATTTATGGTAAGGAGCTGCCCCTGTGGCCAGTTCGATCGCTGTGATTCCAAAACTCCAGATATCAGCTTTAAAATCATAACCTCGAACCTGAAAGGGATTGGGGTGGGGTGGCGGGAGTTGGACAATACAGCAAGAGAGAGAGAGATGCAAAATTACTTTAACCAGGCTAAAACACTTTTTACAGAAGTTTCTAGTATCTCACGAAAAATTGAAGTGCAGATAAACTTTGATGCTTTTTTGGGAGGCGGGAGAGTGGGGGCCTGAGAAGTCTCCCTGTGCAGCCCAGGCTAGCCTTGAATTTTTTATTCTCCTGCCTCAGCCTCCTAAGTACTAGGATTAAGTGTACACTACCACAAACTTTAAACTCTAAACCCGTAAACTGTCAACTATTACATTCATTTACAGTCAATTACTAGCAGTGTTTACTTATTCTATATGAAAATACAGAAAACTGTTCATCATAAAGCACTTATAAAAATGTAAAACTATCATTATGTTTGATATAATTAGAAGGTGCACTCTGTTTACCAAAAACAAGAACAGAACTTTAAAAAAAAAGGAAAAAAAAAAAAACTGGAACCAAGGTTTTGCATAACCCCATCTCTTATTTTCCAAATGTTCTATCACATCTTTTTTCTTCTCTCCTTTCTTGTCTTTTTCCCTCCTTGCCTTTTCCTTTTCTCTCCTATCTCCCTTATCCTGAGGAATCTTTGTTTTGTTTTAAGACAAGCTCTCGTCACCTGGCCCGACTCCCCTGTAACTCCTCATGCATCCTCAGTCTCCTGAGTAACAGAATTACAAGTATGTGCTACCACACCTAGGGATGTTAGCATTGTCACTACAATGGAAAGTTATAAAGGAATTGTGGATACTTTTTAAGGTCTGAACAGAGTGCCAAATTTCTCAGCATTTCTACTGCCACCATCATATCACAGTTACACATTTTTAATCTTCTATGCTGAGCTACCTAAGTGAAGTTGGTCTCCAAAGTTTACAGTCCAAGACTTAAATTCAGTGGTAAATATGCGCTACCCTGCCTTCTGGTACAACAGGAAGGCCTCTAACGCTTCAAAGGCAAGCTCCCTGCAGGGACAACATTCCCCATTTCCACAGGCTTCTCTCCCAGACCAATCAGGGGCAAGCCCTGCTTACCTAAGAAGTAGGCTCAGGTACTACCATACCCTCCACCCAGGAAAACCAATGAAGTCTCATATTCTTTCATACAGTCTCCTTACCCCAGCCTTTCTCCATAGCCCATGCTGTCCACTGTGTCCCTGAGTACAGCCTCTGATGACCCTGGCCTGTAGTGCCCTCCTACAGGGTGTATGGTATTGAGAGTAACCTGAAACCTTAAGAAATACGACTGGCTTGCATGTGACTTAGGCGTTATTTGCAGGTGGCAGCATGGATGAGAACATCCAGGGGATACATGCAGTCAAAAAGAAAAGAGCCCAGAAGATGACCCTGAGAAACGTCTTCTTTTGAGACAGGGTCTGGCTATATAGTCCAGACTGGCTTCAATCTCACGATCCTCCTGTCCCAGACTGTCCTTGGATAACATGTGTAGTTCACCACATCCTACTGGGAGACTCAAGAGTAGACACAGAGGGCCAGGTCTGGTGGCATGCCTTCAGAGGCAGGAGGACCTGAGTCTGAGGTCAGTCTGGTTCATAAATCAAGTTCTAGGACAGCCAGGGCTACACAGAGAAACCCTGTCTTGAAAGATAAAACAATACAAACAGATGGCCTAAAAGAGGCCATTTCGAAAAACCACCTGACAAGCCCAAGAAAAATTAAGAAAGTACAATAAGAAGGTAAATAAAGCTGCAGCAGTCAGTAGTTTCAAATGTTGCCAGGAAGATGAGATGAACACCAAGAAATGAGCCCTGAGTTTAAGAGCGTGCTCACTGTAATGCGATGAGGCAGATGACAAGAGGCTGCAGTGAACTGTCTGATGGAGAAGAGCCCCTGCAACGAAAACTTTAGTCTGCACTCAAACCTATTTTCACAATGTTTTACTGTCTCCATCCCTGGGTTGTCTCTGGTACAGTCCTGAGCTTCTTGTGTCCCATGGAAAGATCTGCAGCTCTGTTGCTGCTTGCTTCATTCTGCAGTTTCCCTTAGATGAAATAGTTCCCTTACAAGTCAACAAAAACACGCATCTCATGCAGCTAACCTGCCATGGTGAGCAAACATAGCACTAAGGTTCCCTGCTTGGTTTAATAACAAAATCTCGACATTTAAGAAAGACCAAACTCACAGTACCTGCTCCATGACTTCAGGCGCCATCCAGCAAGGGGTGCCAACAAACGTCTTTCTCACTTTATTTCTGGTAATATCACCACCAGTCGCTAAAAAAGCACTAACACCAAAATCTGAAACAGAGTGCAACAGCACAGGATTTGTTATGGTTTGAATAGGAAATCTCTCCCACAGGCCCAGGAATTTGGGGTGGCTGCCAGCTGATGAGCCCTGGGAAGTGACAGCTTCTCAGAGTTCTAAGGAATCAATAAATTAACCCTGTACAGAGTCAGAGTGAGAGCATTTGGGGACATGGTGTAGAGGTCGGGCCTACTGGGGGAAACTGGTGAGTGCTCTGGATACTTCTTGCTGCTCTCAGCTTCCTGACAGTCATGAACAACTTCCTCCTCCCACATGCTCTCACCACGATGTTATTCTGCCTTGCCTCAGGGTTAGGACCCAAATCAATGGGTCTAGTATCAATGGGTCTAGTCAGCCTTGGACTGAAGCCCATGAAATCACAAGCCAAATAAACCCACAGAACCAGAAAAAAATTGGAAACCACAACTGAGAAAGTATTAATATCCAGAATACATAAAGAATGCCTACATCCAGTGCTAAGGAGTCAGAAGCCAATACCCAATACGGGCTGCAAAGTGAAAAAGACAAAAAAATCCTACAATTTAGCAATAACAAAACCACATTTAAAAGAACAAGCAAAGGATTTCACCTAAGAAAAGCAAATGAACAATACATACACGAAAACATAGCTGATCGTTAGACAAATATAATCAAAATCGTGAGATTGATATTAAATTAGATGACTAATAATGGATTTTGTTAAAAAAACAAAACAAACAAACAAACAAACAAACAAAAAAAGACGAAACAAAAAACCCCTAGAAACTAGGCACAGTGACATACACCTTTAATTCCAGCAGAGGCAAGCTGATCTCTATGAGTTCCAGACCAGTCTGGTCTTTACTATGAGTTCCAGACTAGCCAGGGCTAGCTATATAGTGAGAAGGCCCTGTCTACAAAAACAAACAAACAAAAAACCCCAGAAAATTAGCATTGTTACAGATGTTGATAAACTGAAACCCTTATAAATTGCTGATAGGAATGAAAAAGGGTATAACTGCTACACAATATAGGGCAATCCTTTTTTCAAAAAGCTAATGTAAGGCCAGTGTGGTGGCACACACCTGTAATCTCAGCACTCAGGGAGGCAGAGGCAGGCAGATCTTTGTGAGTCTGAGGCTAGCCTGGTTTACTAAGTGCTACTAAGTGAGTCCAGGACAGCCAAGGCTACACAGAGAAACCCTGTCTCGAAAAGGGGAAGAAACAAAACGAAACAAAACAAAACAAAAAAACTAATGTAAAATCATCATATGGTCCACCAATATACTCAGAAGAAATAAGCCAGGCATGATTACACATCGCTACAGTCCCTGCTCAGAAGGTGGGAGGGAAGTCAGGAGTTCAAGCTAGCCTGTACTACATAAAAAAAAGAAAGAGGAAGAGAGAGAAAGAGGAAGGGAAGAACAGATGGAGAGAAGGAGGAAATAGAGGAAAGGAGAAGAAAGGATAAAAACAGCAGTTGAGATACCTACATATAGTTTAGAGCAACTTTTTTCCAAATAGACAAAAGTAGACACAGTCTGAACGTTCACTGACGGACCAATGAAGAAATAAAATGTGATGTGTGTGAATCTGTGGGTAGTAGTTTAGGTACGCAGTATTTCTTACACCACAGAAAGGTGTAGGAATGGCTAACAAGGGTTTAGAATGGCTAACAAAGGTCAATTTTCTATTTCACTACAACAAAAAAACCTAAAACAAAATTGTTTTAAGTGAGCTACGGAAACACTGCCGGTAAAGCTGGCAGCAGGACGGGTATGGAAAAGGAAGAAAGGCAGCAGAGTTCTTCTCACTGGACAGATGGCCAGACAAAAAGGCACTAGTGTTCACTTTATCTCCCACATGACTTCTTAATGCTTCTGCAGGAACTATGGTTGTATTAACCTTCATCACGTGGTACGCTGGGATACAACTCAACCACAGCTTATTTATACTGTCTACTAGTGAAGGACGTTGGGAATGTCTGAAGCTCATGATGGCGATGACTGCTGCCCGTGTAAGGATGAGCCTCTCTGGTCTACGCAACAGAAGTCCCTGCCCAAGGTCAGCATATGCACACCCTCAACTTGAACAACTCACCACACAGATCATATTCCTACCCTCAGAGTAATAAATTTTGTGTTCTTGCTTTACACCCAGCAATTGGTTTGTTGGATGTTTTGGTCAAGCTAATCACTTGGCATTTAATAACTGATTTGTGCTTGGACACTTTGTGGTTTTGCTGTTTATCTTTTCCATGTTCCTGTGCAGTGCATGCATGTGTGTGCGCATGGGAGGGTGCTCACCTGTGCATGCTTGTGTAGAGACAGGAGACAAATGTTGGGCATAGTTCTCAGTGACTATCTTAATTTGTGTGTGTGTGTGTCCATCTTATTTTCTGAGACAGTCTCTCACTGAGCTTGAGCTCATGGCTTAGACCAGATTAGCTAGTCAGTGAGCCCCTCAAAGCCTATCTTTGCTCCCCTCCTCCATAGGTTCCAGACATATGCTACTGCATGCAGCTTATCTCCCCTTTATCAATTCATTATATATACATTCTAAAATTATTCATGCCGAAATTATACTGTGTCTTGTTTTTGGTGAAAAGTATTTGGTCCTCTTTTGACCAAAAAAAAAAAAAAAAAAAAAAAAAAAAGTTAATGTTAAAGGAATCAGTTTTATGTAGGAGTTTCATTTGGATTGGTAAATATTCCCTTACCTCAGGACATGCACTCCAACCTTATACCTAAGCTCTAAAGCTGCCGAAGCCTTGCTCCCACTGCACAAATACTTCCTTCCTAAAGGGCAGTGACCCCACGTCATCCTTGTGTTTTTCCTTTCGTGTTGCTGTGACTTTTGGAAAAGCAACTCTAGGGGAAGGGGTTTTACTTGGCTCACATTCTAGGTTGTAGCTCACTCACATTTAGAAGAAGGCAAGGTGGCAGGAACTTGAAGTAGCTGTCACACTATAGCCACAGTCAAGACCAGCAAGCCACCAAACTATATACTCATGCTAGTGCTCAGCTGACAGGAAATGGTGCCAGCCATGCTCAAGGTGAGTCAGCCCACTTCAATTAGCCTCATTAAGAAAACCCCTCACATATATCCAGAGGCAACCTAATGTATACAATCACTCATGGAGACTCCCCTCCCAGGCTCCAGACTGAGTCAAGCTGACAAAACCAATCATCCCAACCCTAGATAAAAGACACTTTACATCACCTCTTCACAGAGTATTAATTCCTGAACACTGAGGATTCCTACCTATTTCTCCTTTAAATAAAAGCACAGGATGTTACGAGATAATATCGATATCAGAAGACCCTAATGCAGGTGAGGAGCGGAAAAACAGGAAGCAATGAGTAATGGGCAGGAAAACATCTATGAGCAGTAGATGTCATCTTAAGAGTGTGTGTGAACAGAAAGGAGTCTATGGGACAGGATCCGATACTAAGAAAGCACAAAAGACAAGTAAGACAGTCTGCTGGTTTTTATCCCAGACTAAACTGTGAACTGGGCGGCGGTGCAGTGGTGAAGTCCCTTCCGCACCCCTGGCACCTACAGTGATGCCAGGCAGGCACGGTAGCCGCTCATGCTGAGTGCTCAGGGTGCTCTAATCAAGGCGGCAACGAGTGCACTCACAAATGTGAAAGCACTTACTTGCATGCCTTCATGCATCTCTACCTGACGCACACACACACAAAAGAAAGTATGCTCATCATTACCTGCTATCTGTACAGAGCCATCTTCTCCGAGAAGAATGTTTCCGGCTTTCACATCTCTTCAAGGAAAAAAACCAACATCAACATTTGTTCTTCAGTATAACACAACTTAAGCAACTGGTTGTTTTATTTATAAAACATTAGCAATATTTAAATAGTTTTACATTAAAGAGTAGAAATAATTTTTAAAATTTTTAGCCATTTATACTATAATCCATACATTAAGCAGAAAATTATAATAAGGAATGTCACATTTTACACTATCTAGAAAACCTAAGCTGATTAAATATTCTTGCCTGGGATGATAATGGTGAGAGAAAGTGACCCTCATCTATCCTCACCTAATCCTTACTGCTGAAATATACTACTTTTTTCTATACAAACTACATGCTAAAAAACAATGGATCACTCTTTCCAGCTCAACCCTCCTTTCTTACTTTCTACCTGATCAAATAATGAATACAATCTTGAAAACAGATACTACTGTGCGCCTACCAAATAAAGCAGAACTACTCAGAACTAGGTATACTTTCACTGTTAACTATGTATAACTCCAGTAAAACAGCAATACATGTTTGTTGTCTAAAAAAACTAAACAACACCAAAGACAGTGAAGGCCACCCTGATTCTTGGCACTCAGAATGCAGAGGCAGGTGGAGTTTTGTGATTCTGAGACTAGCCTAGCCTACACAGAGCATTCCACACCAGCCAGACCCTGTCTCAACCATAAAACAAAATCTTGGTGTTGCACAAAGGAGCACACAAAGAGAAAATAACTCAACAAATCAATTCATGTAAAAACTGCACCAAAACCCAAACTAGTCAGCAAGTACTTTCAGCCAAGACGGCCTCCATCCTTCATCCCTGACGTGAGAGATGGCTGTGCCTCTTCCCACTGTGGAACCAGACTTCACACTCTAACTTGACCGGCTAACTGGTACGAAGAGAAGGAAGGTTCAGGAAACGCGAGTCCTTGCAGGGCTAGTTCCCTTCGGTGGAAAGAACCCTAACCGTCTTTGGAGGAAAGAGTCTCTTAGAAACCCACCGAAGAAGAGCACGATCCAGCCGCCACTTCCCCTGCCTCAATGTCTGGCTGTCTCTAGCACCTATCGTTTACTAGAGGCTACACTTCTCTGCCCATCACCCCACTTCGCCACAAACATCATTTGCATCTGTGCAATAATGCATTGTCCCTTGCAACTGCAGTAACCAACCACTCAATCTCCACACAGATTCAATACAGTGCATAGAAGACAACCTACCTGGTATTTTTCTGCAAGGAGAGGTGCAGCAAGGGAGGCTGCAAAGGAATGCTAACTAAGTGCTGCCTCTACTGCCTACATTCTTTCCAGACGTAAGTTACAAACTAATATTCTGCAAAGAATGAGGATAATCTAATTACTAATTAGTAGCTTACCAATGAAATTGTACTATCTGTGAATGAACACACAAGTTTATAGAGAACCTCAATATGATCTTTATTCTTTTGTTTATTTAGTGTGTTCAAGCTTATTTGTTGTTTGTTTTTTGTCTGAATGTATATATGTATACCAAGTGTTTGCCTGGTACCCAGAAAGGCTGGAAGAGGACACTGGAATCCATAGAACTGAAGCTAGAGATGGCTGTGAGTCCCCATGCAGGTGCTGAGAACTGAATCTATGTCCTCTACAAGAATAGCATGTGCTCTTGACCAATGAACCTACTCTCCAGCCCCTCTGGTCTTTGTTTTGTTTTCAAGAATTTTCCTATGTAACCCAAGCTGGTCTCTATCTCTTGATCCTGCTGCCTAAACAACCCAAATACATGGGGTTACAGGTGTGCATTACATATATTCTAAAGAGGAAGGGGGGAAACGTCATATAATGTACCTTTTTTTTTTAAACAGGAGAATTAATATACACATATATACAGACAAATATATTCATATGTGTATACTGACATAAAATATTTCTCAAAGAAATCATAATAAAATGGGAAGACGTGATATTCTTTAGACCAGAGCATTGGGATTTAAGAAAAAGATGTTTCTAAATGCTTTACATAAAAATTGAAAAGAAAATACAACAGTTCCCACATACACTAAGCCTAGTCTCCCATTAGTAACATCTTGCATCAATGTGGTACTTTCGTTAAAATTAGTGAACCAAAATTAAGATAACATTAACTAAAGCCCACAGTGCTAGGTTTCAGGCAATGTGTATGTCCAGAAATGAGCTCAGGCTGGGATACAGAAAAATTTCCAGTGGTTAGATAAAAGCCAACATTCTTCAGAAACTTGTGAAATAAATTCAGGTCCACCAAAATGAGTCATTTCCCTTGCCTCTGGCAGAAGGGATATAAGGCTTTCTACTGACATTAACTGTGGTGGCGTACAAGGGGTCCATCCCTCCGCCCTTTTCACACATACTTGCCACACACTGCAAAGACAGGCACACTGGCCTCCTGGCCCTTCTCACTTCTCTGACTTCTCACTATGCTTGGCCCCAAGACTGTTCCGATCCCTGCTACTCTCATGATTCACACTCTTGCTATTTTCCTTTCTCTTGAACCAGCCCTGGCCATGTCCAGTCTGTTTCTTTTTCTCTCTTCTTTTTCTCTCTACTCTGTACTCTTCCAGATACCTCTGGCTGTTCTCACTCTTACTCACAATAATAACCTGTCCCATCATGGAGTGGCCATTTCAGTGGCTTCTTTATTTATTTTAAATGTAAGCTCAAGGATGTGTTTGATACTACACAGAGACCCAAGTTTGATTCCCAGAACAAGAACAAAAAAGTGTATATATATATGTGTGATAAAACCTGTTTCCCTCAGAGATATTCCTTAGGAATTTGAGGGGTAGGAGCTGCTGTTTACAGAATAATCTTGTGGAAGAAAACAGACAAAATCTAAGAGTAGGTCTATTTGGTAAATATTCCCCCTTAAAAATCACCCACATGGCTAGACATATTTGATAAAATGATCATTTCAGTGCCTGGAATCAACCTTAGAAACATTTATGCTTGGAACACTAAATCATATCAGGTAGGAAAAGTGGGACCCCAGATGATGGTCCAGGATCAGAGCCAGTTCAGTCTGTGTGGAGGTTCTACTACAGTAGGCCGGCCATTGTGGATGAAATTTCCCAGGAAGAAGCTACATCCTGTCCTCAAGTTCCCACAAGGATGACTATCTGATTACAACTTCAAAGACTGGAAAGGTCAGAATGTTGTAGGTCCAGGGCCTAATTAAAATTTATCTTGTGCTATCTTCAGCTCACTTGTTAGTCTGCCCCACCCCCAAGCCTCAACCACATTTGATATAGCATTTTTGTGACTCTCAGGTGAGACCTTTGGAAATGTACTGACTTAGCAGACCACTAGCCATTCCCCGCCCCCCCCCCCAACCAAAACCTAAGCATTCAGACAGCATCAGAGACTGGAACTTTGCTGTAATCACCTGTCGATGTTTTCACCAATGCATTCAATGCATCTTGACTTATGGCCTTCTTTGCGCTATTTCAATAAAAACTTAATGAAATTGCTACCTCACTGGAACATGGAATTTGGAGCAGACTAAGTCTGTGTTCCCAGACTACAGGCCCTTACAATTTGGCTCCAGAATAAACAGTTTCCTATCCCCTTTGAGGCGAGAGCTATTTTGTGTCTATATAATGGTGAGCAGCAAAGCTCCAGCCAGAGACACTCAGACTCATTTGACTAGGAGTGGTGGGCAAGTCTACATAGTGGCACTGTGAACAGAAACCACCTCTTGAGGACTGGCCATCACGGAAGGATGAACAGAAATAGACACTGAAGGCACACGTGCTTCGTTGGCACAAAGGCCTTTGCCAGTACTATGCTTCTGCCAAGGAGAAGGAAGTGCACAAAGAGCAAAGAAGACTTCAAAGGAGTCCAAACTGCTGGACTGCACCCCGCCCCAAGCTTCTGAAAAGATGCATTTTAACATCAACAGCAAGCACAGAAGTCAGCGGCCACGGTGAGTATGATCTCTACTCATTCATCAGACTTCAAATTTTTAAAAATGTAAAAAAACTGTATAAGAGAAGCAGACAGTGACTACACATTAAAAGAAGGGGCCGGGGAGAAGGGAGTGAAAGAGTAAGAGGACAGTCAAAAGAGAAGGAAGGCAGTGAGATAGAGGATGGAAGGATTATTGAAAATTCTACTAGAAGGGTTCATTCTACTAGAAGGAGATTTATGATAGCAGAATAACCTTTAAATTCCTCTTTTTTACAAACATTTTTTGTAATTTATTTTTATTTCATGTGCACTGCTATTTTGTCAGTATGTATGTCTGTGTAAGGGTATCAGATCTCTTAGAACTGGAGTTACAGACAATTGTGAGAGCCATGTAGGTGCTGGCAATTGAACCCAGATCCAGAAAGAGCAACCAGTGTTCTCAACCGCTGAGCCATCTCTCCAGCCCCACAATCTGAATTAAAATTTAAGACAGAATTATTAATCTAAAGGACAAGAAAAAAATATTAACAGTGCTTTCAGAAATCTAAGACAAAAGTAAACATGTTAACATACATGAAAAAAAAAAAAAAACCAGCCAAAAAAAGGAAATAGAAAAATGGAAAAATAATCTATGGGAGGAAGGGAAGAAGAGAGGGAGGGAGGGAGGGAGGGAGGGAGGGAGGAAAGAAGGAGGGAGGGAAGGAGGGAGGGAGCGAAGGAAGGAAGGAGGGAGGGAAAAAGAAAGGGAGGGAGGGAGGGAGGGAGGGAGGGAGGGAGGAAGGAAGGAAGGAAAGAAGGAGAAATCACACAAACAAAATGATGTGTATATCCAATAGCAGTACAGTATATCTGTTAAAACCCAAACCCAAGAGGGGAGAATATGCTATGAATAGCAAGAGAAAAACAACTTGTGCAGGGCGTGGGAGTTACGCAGTTAACGCTGACTTAACACTGGACCAGTGATAGCTGTAAGTTAATGAGACATTCAAAGTACTGAATTAACAAACAAAAAATTGTGAGCCAAGAATTCTATAGTCTGCAAAACAATGAAGACACAGGGCTGGAGAGATGGCTCGTGGGTAAGCGTGTGCACTACTCTGGGCAGAAGACCCGAGTTCAGTCATTACACCCACAATCAGGTAGCTCACAAGTACCTGGAACTCCAGTCCCAGGTAATATGACACTGTCTTCCTACACCAGGCACGAACACAGTGTACAAGCGTAAGTGCAGACACTCACACAGACACATAAGACAAATAGGTTTGCTTCGGTTGCAGGACATAGAGAAGTCAAGCTGGGGATGAGCTGGGGGCCTCCTCCTGCTGGCCTACCTACACATATGTATGCAGTGCTGGGAGAATATCAGGGCTAGCGTCAGGTATCAACTTGACACAGAGTGAACTGAGAAAAGAAACTGCAACCCAAGAACTGCTCATGCCCGTGTCTGCGGAATTTTATGACTTCCTAATTGATACAGGGCAGCTCAGCCAACTGTGGGCAGTGCCACTTAGGCAGGCAGTCTGGGCTACGTAAGAAAGCTACCTGAGCAAACCAGTAAACAGAAGAAACAAAGTTTAAGCACTGACCTGTAAGTGAAATGAGCCCCACCCAACTCCAAGTTGCTTATGGTCACAGTATTTATCAGAGCAACAGAGAGCAAAGAAAAATACAGAAAACAAAACAAAAAACCAACAGTCTTACTGTGTTACTCAGCTATGAACTCTTTCAACCTCAATGCGAACCTGCCAGGAAAGGTAAGTCACCTGACACAATAATGACATGACTCCTATGAGGGTAAGCAACCTCTATCTGACTGGGTTTGACACCGACTCCACAGTAGGAACTGCGGCTGGTACTATAAGCCTGGCCAAAAGCCCTGAACTGGAAGCCTACTTGCCTAACTGGACATGTCACACTGTCTTCTGAGCATCTTTTTGTTTGTACCCACAGCTTAGTGCTCTGAGCCTTAGTCAGAGCAGCTTCGGTATGCAGTGGATTACTGTTAATTCAGACACTCCTAATGGTCAGAAATCCTGAGAACCCATGACTGTGAGTCCTGAGACCTAAAAAGGATATTCTTATCACCCTCTCCAAGACTTAGGGAAGATTCAGGAAGATGGGGCAGAAAGAATGTAAGAGCTAGAGTGCTGTCAGACATTATAGTCTGGACATCAGCTTAAACTGCTCTGTCTAGCTACAAAGGCACAATGCACCTGGAATAGAATCGATTCTCCCTGCTTGGTTATGGTCTTTTTCCTTTAAAAACTCACTCTGACCCCAAGAATGGCTCTGGGTCAGTCTTGGTGCCCCAATCCACACTGACCAATAAGTCTTTGTTAAGCGTTCAGTAAACTTTCTCTGATCTGAGTTTGGTGTCTGAGTGGTCACTGTGTGCTATTCCTGAACCCCAACATAGCCACTGATAACCATGCTCAAGCAAGCAAGGGGTCGGGTGAGAGGATAATGGGGCAGAAATAGTATCAAATAAGCATTGCATACATGTATGAAATTGTGAAAAATAAAAACAAAAGACTAAAATAATTTTCCCAAAGGATCTCAACTGTTCCAAAACGGTTCTGACAGTATGAAGATGTGGTGTCTGTTTCTGATGCTTTCCTCTGGTCTTTGAATTCAAGATGGTTGGACACTGTCTGCCACACATCGGGAAACACATGGCATCTATGGTTACAGAGTTATGTACTCAGATACATACATACAGTCCGCTAGAATTGTGATTTATTTACTTATTTGTTTGTTTAGTGACCGAGAAGAAGAAGAAAACCTGAGGCGCATCTTTTACACAAATGCTCAGAGTATTACTAAAAACTCTAACCCTCCACAGGACCTGTGTGTGCCAATTCCCTACGCAGCAGCAAAAGACAGCTTAAAGAAAAAGCCGTCCATTTCCACGGGCAATAACAACTGCAATGGGCCAGCACAGGGAGCCTGGTAAAGGGCTCATAGCCCCAAATGTCCAATGTCTATCACTCAGTTCCCAGTGGACAGCATTAGGCTCAGAATGCGCTGACTATATACAAAAAATAAAAATAAAACTTTAATTGAAAAGAATCATTTTACAGATAACTTCAATCACTTGGGAAAACACTTAAGCTATAAATGAGAAGAGCAATAGAGAGTATGGGCATGGTGATGCACTCCAGTACATAACTCCAGCACTCAGAAGGGTGAGGCAAGTGTGTCAGGAATTAAGTCCAGCCTGGGCAAGTTAGGAAGACTTTTAAAAACTGGTGTGATTTTGTTGTTATTGTTGTTGGTGGTTTTTGCTTTTCTTTTTTCTTTTTTTGTTTTTTAAGACCAGGTTTCTCTGTGTAACAAGCCTTGGCTGTCCGGGACTTTGTGGACTAGTCTGGCCACAAACTCACAGATACCTGCTTGCCTCTGCCTCCTAAGTGCTGGGATTTAAAACATGTGGCACCAAGCCCAGCTTGTAGTTTTTTAAGGCTAAAAATACATAGCTCTATGGTAAAATACTTTCACAGCATACACAAGAGCCTGAGTTCAATCCTTAGCACCTTAAAAATGAGACAAAATTAAATAAATATCATTAAGTTCTTTAGGAAACAGAAAACAAAAACCAATATTCCAAATGCTACCAGTGACTCTGGCCCTTGACAAAAATTAAATTGTCTTGTTTTTTCATTTCCCAATTTTACTACAATACTTAACACTTTGTTTGTTTGTTTGTTCGTTCTTTGACATGGGGCCTTACTATGTAGCCCTGACTGTCCACAAACTTGCATTAGACCAGGCTGGCCTCAAATTCACAGATATTCACCTGCCTCTGCCTCCGAGTGCTGGTATTAAAGGCATGTACCATTATACCTGGCTTACTTTTTGTTTTGTTTTTAACATTTATCACTTTCTTAATATTTCTAGGTTGTATAATTCACACTATGATAAGCAAAACAAACTGATACTAGTAAAACAAAAAGCACAGGGCTGAGATAAAACAAATTCATAAAGGAAAAAGCTGTCCTCAATGAGACAAAAGCACAACCAGCACAACTATAAAGGGAAAGGGGTAGCCCTTTACGCACCTGTGAATCTGCCCGTTCTTATGGAGGTATTCCAATCCCTCTAAGACTTCTCGAAGGATTGTAGCAATGGTCGGCTCATCCAGAACTCCACTTTTGTGTTCTCCCTTTGCCACAATATGCTTAATAATATCCAGAACAGAACCTGAAAACAGAAAATATAGCCCAATAAAAATTTTAACTTATTCAGTGACTCAGATCTAGTTTGGAATCAAAGCACATCAGAACATTTTATAAAATTAATTATGTAAGAACGAAAAGAAGAAACAGCAAATATGAGGAAATACAGATGCTTCAAATTCTAAATTTCAACCTAAAACCGAAAGTAATTAATTAATACCAAATGGTTGTTCCACTAACATGTCCTTTAGCTCTCTAATGAGAACCTGGAAAGGTTAGTATAAGATTTCTTTTTTTTTTTTTTTAAAGATTTATTTATTTTATGTATATGAGTGTTCTATCTGCATTTACATCTGCCAGAAGAGGGAATTAGTTCACATTATAGATGGTTGTGAGCCACCATGTGGTTGCCGGGAATTGAACTCATGACCTTTGAAAGAGCAGATAGTGCTCTTAACCACTGAGCCATCTCTCCAACCCCAGTATAAGATTTCTAACCATCTCTGAAGAATCCCTGAGGAAGCACACCAATCAATAACACTCTAGTATAAAATAACATAAACCAAAGAAGTTTTCAACCCAGATTAAATTGTGTAATACTGTATAACTAAGAAGGTAAAACTACAATTGAAATATAAATCAATGTAGAAACCAAGGAAAGTAAAAATCACATTTGTAATTCTTGGTTGTCAACTTGACTACATCTGGAATTAAATAAAACCCCAAATAGAGGGTCACACCTATAGGGGATTTTTGCTTAATTTGAAATAGGAAAATCGACTCCTAATCCAGACCTTTGAGGTAGAAAGGCACACCTCTAATTGGGCCAAACCTTCTACTGGAAGCCCATATAAGGACATGGAAGAAGGAAGCTTCACCCTTTACCTGACATGGAAGAAAGAAGCTTTTGCTCTTTACCTGCCTGAACTTGGCATTGCTAACAACTCCATTCCTTCACTGGCATCAGAGCCTACTTTGTGATTCTGATATTAGACACCCAGACTTCTGGACTGAACATTTACTGGATACTTGTACCTTCTGTTCATAGGCCCCCTTTGTTGGATTAGCTGGACCACAACCTGTAAGTCCTTTTTCTATATATAGAGTCATTCTATAATTCTGTTACTCTAGAAAATCCTGACTAATACAGTAATCAAGTTAACGCAAGAGCTAAATTCTAGGATAATAAATACATGAATAAACAGGTAAGGCAGCAGTAAATATGGGAATAAAAGTAATTTCCGTTCTCTCTGAAGTAATGCCCAGATGTCTCATCAACTGAGTTCCTCTCAGGATGGAAGATGCTGCTCCTACTAAAGGGAGCAGGAGGAATGAAGCCCTACCCAGCAGTTAAGACCACACAACATTGACAATCAAAACTACTTACAGTCAAAGGTGTGATAAAGACTCATAAAAATACATAAAAATGGCCCACTGTCCTCTACACATGCACTGTTTACCACCTACACACACCCTCTAAAACTTTTCAATTAAGAAAATCACACCACTGGGTCCCACTGAAAATCTACTATACTACATACTCTAATGTAACACACCTGAAAAAGTAACTCCACACACATAGAAACAGTAGTGTAGGAAGCTGGGTGGTGCAGCTTCCTGGTGGAGTTCCCTACCCTCAATGCCCAAGACCAAGAGAAAACACTGCACTGTTCAACACCAGTGTCTTTGAGCTTCCACTTAAGATCCAATGATGTAATGGTGTGATGTGCTGACTCTTAACTGTGAAAGTGCAGGCAGGGGCTGGAGAGATGGCTCAGAGGTTAAGAGCTCTGCTCTTCCAGAGGTCTTGAGTTCAATTCCCAGCAACCACAGGTTGGCTCACAACCATCTATAATGAGATCTGGTGCCCTCTTCTGGCATGCAGACAGAACACTGTATACATAATAAATAAATAAATCTGTAAAAAAATAAAAAAGTGCAGGCAGGAGGACTGGGAGTTAAAGATAATCCTCAGTTGCACAGAGATGAGAAGTGGCCTCAAATGCTGCCTCTCAAACAAAATAATCCCATGACTCAAATAAGCTTGATTTAAAATGGCAGCAGCAGCAACAGCAGAGCTTGACAGTCACGTTCTGGGCTTGGGAGCCCCAGGAAGGCTTTCAGGCCTCTGCAACAGTCCACAGAAGACACCGTGATAGAATACAGGTGTAGAGTCAAGCCAACCTCAGTGAGCGACCATCCTCCAGGCTAAGCAAGAGACCTCGGCCTACATAAAGAATGAACACAAGAGAGAAGTGCAGCGATGTTCTTGGAAAGAAAGCAGACTAGAGAAATCTCAACTTCAGTGCCTGAAGAACAAACGCTGAAAGTGATTTCTGTATTGTCTGTCTCTGGGAGGCAGAGACAGGCGAATCACTTGAGTTTAGGGTCTACATAGTGAGTTCCAGACCAACTAGAGTTACCCCGTGTAATCTAGCCTTAAAAAAAATAAAAAATAAAGTAATGCCTATCCGGATTTCCAGCACCAATACCATATAAACAGAAGGAGAGGGAAAAGAGAAAGGACTGAGACAGCAGACCTGGCTGCAAGTAAGGTTCTCACAACTCTCTCCCCTGGAAGCCAGCCCACCACCTCTCAGGACTTCCAGCAGGAAACAGGCATTTTATTCTGTCTATAGACAAGGAGGCAGAGAGGTTCTGAATGCCACACAATACTTCCTAGCACATACTTATAGCACAGCTTTCCATTCCTTGATACTGAAATTTATAAACCTGTAATCCAGAGGGCCTAGGGAGAAGTTCAGTTCTGTTGAGTTTATCAAACACATGTTAAACCCTGAAGCAAAGTAAGCAAATCAATGAACCATATGTTCACTCTTCTGAAAAAGTCAGGCCACAAAAACTAGCTGGTGAGAAAATAAAGTTCCATGTTCGAAACTTTAAGAATTTTTAAAATAAAGACTGGGAATGGGGAAAATTCTGATAGAATCTAAAATCAACACAATGTATTAATTTAACAATTATGCCCAAGCTGTATTCCTAGTGTTCAAGAGCTCAGGCAGGAGCACTGTCCTAAGTTCAAGGACAGCCGGCACTATACACTGTGTCCCAGCTCAGCCTAGCCTACAATAACATCCTGCCTCAAAACACCCAAACAAACAAACAATACACACAAAAGAAAAATTAAAACAAAAAAATTAAATGAAAACTACAATTAAATCCTATTATATTATTATATAGAACTTGTTATAAAATAAGATGCAAGGTGGCGCAGGCCTTTAATTCCACAGTGGGGAGGCAGAGGCAGCAGATTTCTGTGAGTTCAAGGCCAGCCTGGTCTCAAGAGAGCCAGGACCACACACATGTGACACCATGTCTCAAAAAAAAAAAAAAAAAAAAAAAAAAAGACATGATACAATATGTTTGCTCACTTTAAGGAGCATCTCGTCTGGCATATCTAAGAAATATGCTGCTTGGGTTAGGGCTTCCACTGCTGTGATAAAACCCCGACGACCTAAGGAGGACACAGTCGGTCTCAGCTCACAACTGTCAAGTCCTACTCCACTGCTGAGGATTAGGGCAGGAAGCTGGAAGCAGGAGCTGATGCAGAGGAGGAGTTGGTGCTTTCTCACAGCTGACTTAAGATACCATTAAACCTGTCAATTATCTCAATCAAATGAACTAATTCACATGATACTTTCCTTACTCTTATTAAAAACAAAATTAAACTTATTTTAAAACTTAGCACTCTCTCTCCTTCCTTCTGTCCCTCAACCAGGCTGAGCCAGGGCCTGGCCCATGCTAGACAATCACTCTACCCTTGAACTATGTCCTCAGCCCTTACTAGCTACTACCACTACTAAGACATTTCTGAGCCACTGAGGTTTAAGAGGGCCCAAAATTTGTTTAGTTCAGTATTCATTATCAGCCAATAGATGTTGAAATAATTAAAAACTCATCACTATTTATCAGATACTTTACTGGGTCCTCTTAGGAAAAGAGATTCAACATATTTTTATTTCTTAGAATCTGACAAAGATGCTGGGCAGTGGTGGCACATGCCTTTAATCCCGGTACACAGGAAGCAGAGGCAGGTGGACCTCTGTGAGTTCGAGGCCAAACTGGTCTACAGGGAGAGAGACAGAGTTTCAAGATAGCCTAGGCTACACAGAGAAACCCTGTCTCGAAAACAAACAAACAAAACCGAACAAAATAACAACAAAAATTTATGAGAATACAAATAAATACCAACACTACACAGAGACTCTATCTCCAAATCAATAAAAATTAATTTAAATTAAAAATATAAGGTGTTTATCTTATTGCTGGAAATATCAGAATATAATTCCTTAATGTAAATGTATGTGTGTATGTCTATATATATATATGGGGAATATAGTTCTAGTTTTTTTTTAAATATTGCATAATATACCTATTTAGTTTAAAGGTTTATTTAGTGTAGTAAATAGTATAAGAAAGTAATATTATAAGGAAGTAAATAATAAAAGGAAGATTTTACCTTTCTAAAAAGATGCAGAGTTTTGTTTTAATATTTAAAACTAGATATTAAGGTTATGTTAACTTATAAAAATATATGTGATTATATAAAGAGTTATGAGTAGGATGTATTTTAAAGTATCCTAGTGCTACATTGGAAAAATCAGACACTGACCCAGGAAACCTAAGACCAGGAGAGACAAACAAGTTAAAAGGTACTTCATCCTTCTCACATCATGCTGCCTGTGATCACGATCACAGAGAAGAACAGGAATCCTTTAACAAGAGAGCTAATGTGCATAAAGTCGCAGAAAAGATGGGCAAGCACACAGGGAGGAGATGAGAGAATTAACTCCCATTTATCATCAATTTTTTTTTCAAAACATGAAAAACTCTGTATTACAAATTTTTATAAATCACAAAGAAAGAAAACTATGCTATCGGTGATCAATAACAAAAGATACAGTATTACCTAATGTTCTCATATCTGTCCACACTGAAAAGAACCATGCTTGGTCACCATCTTGAAAAGTGGTTGGTGTTAGCAACCATTATACCAAATGGGCCTTTAACAAAGTGATCCAGTTTCTCCAGTGTGTAACTAATGGGACTGAAACAAAAAGGTGATTCCAGCTACGCTGAGAGCATCAAACAGCAAGGGCAGGCTCCTGCTACAAGTACGCTTTTATGTGAACCTCCCACATAAACACAACGGCAGATGTTTCACCTCTGTGATCTTTTGTCACCCTTTCTGGAACACAGAAAGGCAAGCTCTTTTAGCAAACAAGTAAAAAAAAAGTTCAAAGCTGAAACTTTTCCAATGAGACTCAATTTCTAAAGAAAAAGGTATATTTTATTCTAAAGCCTGTTTCTCTGAGGAAGTATGACATGAAATACCATACTAAAACTGCAAATTAAAAAATGTGGATTCTTTCTTCTGCAACTATGTACTATATACACTCTTACAAAACCACAGACACCAGCAACATGGGAGTGAGAAGGCTACAGGCCTCCTCCACAAGTTTGCTACACTTTCAAACACAAGCCTTACCAAAAGAAATTTTTTAAAAAGAGAACTATATTTAGCCTGTGTCTTCAGATAACCATAAAAAATGTTCAATCTACACATGCTAAATGTCCATGTATTTGTGTACATTACATACATTATGCTACAAAAAAAATATGTAATTCTAATACTGGGGGAAGCAAGATTTTCTGTGCAAGAGAAAACAGATTCAAGCACAATATTAAAAGTTTTACAAGTTGATATTATGTCTAAATAGGAAATACTAATGTAAAATTATGATTTATTTGTAATACACACTATTCCCAAGCCCTGAAAGCACCGAGGCCACAGCAATGGACACTGCAAATATCTAAGTTATGCTTAGACAACATTCATACAATACTGGCTGACCCTAGATCTGGGGAGAAACAGATGTAACTGTAAACCTGAGAAATTCTGAACATGGCTGGGAGACAGCTCGGCCAGTAAAAAGCAAGCAGGACCTGAGCTCAATTCCCAAAACCCACACGGGAGAAAAAAGCTGGATGTGGTGACTCAGTCTTATAATCCCAGCACGGGGAAGGTAGAGAGACAGGCAGACCCTGGAGTTTGCTGGCCAGCCAGCCTAGACCAGTGGGCAAAGAATAAGGCAGTGGAAGACCCTGTCTCAAAACAAGGAAGGCGGCGGTATCTAAGGAATAAAAATTAAAGTTGTCCTCTTACCTATACACGCATACAACTGCACACAACTGCGCACACACACACATGCACAGCACAGCTGGAATCAAAGAACAAGGAACCAGCTATATTCTAAGCTTGCCCCAGGCTTGAAATCTTCCTGCCTGAGCCTCCTATATGGTTCCTAGCATGAGCCATCATACCCAGCTCAACAACCATTTTTTTAATTATTATTTTAAATTTGTTTTATGTGCCTGAGTATTTTACTGGCACGCATAAATATGTACTACGTGCATGCCTGGTACCCCTGAAGGTCAGAAAGCACTGGATCCCTGGGAACTGGAGTTAATGGACGGTTGTAAGCCACCACAGAGGTGCTAGAAATAGAAATCAGTTCTCTGCAAAAACAACTACTAAGCCATCTCTCTTCAGGCCAGCAGTCAATTCTTAAAATATATTTGAATGTTTATTTGCTACAAGGTGGTCGTGCACACAGGCTTGAGGATGACCTTGTGGAGCAGTGCTCTTATCCACCTCTGCACAGGTCCCAGAGACCCAAACAAGCCACGAGGCTTGCACTTTACAGCGAGTGTCTCACCAGCTAAACAAGCCTGCCTGCCCCCAACCCTTTACTCTGTCTTTTTAATGGGACTACTATACATAAAGAGGCAAGGTTCCTCTTAAACAAAACACAACAGACAGCTTAGACTTACAGAAGAAATGATGCAATAATAAAAACAACTCCTAGGGCTGGAGAGATGGCTCAGTGGTTAAGAGCACTGCATGTTCTTGCAGAGTCCTGAGTTCAATTCCCAGCACCCAGATGGCAGCTCACAACTATCTGTAACTCCAGTTCCAGAGAATCTGACATTCTCTCACAGGCATACATATAGGCAAAATACCAATGCGCATACAATAAAAATAAATAAATTTTGAAGAATAACTTCTAATAAATTAGCAAGAACTGAATGCTAAAATAATAAAATATAATTCCTACGGGATATAGAAAATAGTGCCAAAGTTGCATCTCACTGCTAGCAACAAGGAAAAATGCTTTTAATAGAAAGAGAGGCTTGGAGTGTCACAACCTAAGGAAACAAAATAAACCTTAGTATTAAAGATATTAGATGGGAAACACTTTGCAATATGGAATGTTCAACATTAAAGACCTATAAATATTCAACATTAACGATTTAAAAAATTCATCAAGCTGAATTTTCAATCTAATGCTCAGTATGCTAGAAATACAGATTTTGTGTGACATCAAAAAGAAGAATCAAATAAATCTACATAAATGGACAAAATCTTTCCATCAGTTTGTCTCCTAAAAGGAAGAAGGATAAACAATGCTAAAGTAAGAGAGATGTCAGAGCACAACAGCCAAATGGAATGTGTGAAATCTATTGCAGCTGAACACTAGCATTTGTCTTAATGAAAATATATTCTTAATATTGCTTCAGATGCAAAATGTCCACAAAACCCTATCAAGATGAGGAGAATCTGTATTTATTTATCTGTGTAGCTCTGGCCGGCCTGGAACTTGATATATAGATCAGGCTGGCCTTGATCAGGCCCAGAGATCTGCCTGCCTGCGCATAGTGCTGGAAAGCCGTGTTAACTTTTCACCTCTGAATGTGGCACTCTGTGTGTGTGCTCACCTCCACTCAGCAGCTTCATGACCAGCCACAGCTCATCCTTCATCACGAAGGACGTGTAGTATGACACGATGTTAGGGTGGTGACACTGGCTCATGGCTTGAATTTCTTTCTACAAAGAAAAATACACGGTCACTGATTAAAATCTACCTTAAAGCAACTATATAAATAAGGAAATCCACATCTGGTTGCCCCGGAACCATGTTACAGGCTCTTCTGGGATTCCCAAGGAATTACTCTCTCCATGAAGGGCCAAGTTGGAACCAGGGGTCAGGCTAGGCTTCACATACCACTAAGCCCAGCACTTCAGAGGGAGGAAGAAGAGCGCGAGTTAGCGCAGTCTGCCCAGGATACACAGGCCAGATGCTGTCTCAAAAGCCAGGTGGAGGGAGCACATGCCTTGACTTCCACTCTGTGGTCCCTCGGGGTTAAACTCCGCCAGGCTTAGCTCTAAATGCTTTTCCACTCCATCCCCAACTTTTCTATCACTAGATGTATATACCTTTCTTAAACAATAGTTTTTAGATTTATTTTATATGGATGGCTATTGTCTACATGCATGTAGGAGCACATGTACATTCCCGGTATTGATGGAGGCCAGAAGAAGGCATCAGATCCGCTACACCTGGGCTTACATACGGTTGTAAGCTGCCACGTGGGTGCTGCGTGGGTTCTCTATAAGAGCAAAAACTGTTCTTAGCCACTGAGCTAACTCTCTGGCTGCTCTGTAAACAAGCTGTAAAAAATCACTATAAAAATATCACTATCCCTAGCATGTATTGACTACAGCTCTCAAACACGGCTAAAGCAAAACAAAACAAACAATTCACAGGAGGAAAACATTAAATGAAGTATACTGCAACTCAGCATTCACCTAGCACACATAGAACCCTAGATCTGACTGCTAACTGCAAAAATAGTAATGAAAAATAAAGAAATATTAAATGAGCCAAGCATGACAGCACATGCCCTTTATCCCAGTAGTCAGGAGACAGAGGCAGGTAGACTCAAGGCCAGCCTGGTCTACATATCAATCTCCAGGAGAGCCAGGGCTATAAAGAGAGACTCTGTCCTAAAAACCAAAAAAGTAAATAAAGATAAGATTTTTGTTTAAGCTGTCTAATTTCCCTTGCTAAGCACCTACTACATTATTATGAGGCAAGGTCTCTCTACATAGCCCTGGCTAGCCTGGCTCTCCTACTCACTATATAGCCCACACAAGATTACATGTTTAAACTATACTACTGATCCAAGAACACAACAAGACATAAAACAATCCCTGTGGAGTTGGTTTTGTTTATTTTTGGCCACAGAACACCTTTATGACCATTGTCCTCTCTACGCTGGATCCCCAGAACCCACATAAAAGCCTGATGTAGCTCATCCTTGTAATCCCAGTCCTGTGAAGACAGAGGCAGGAGGACCCATGGGGCATGATGACCAGCCAGTCAAAGTCAAATTAGCAACCTCCAGGCTCACCTCAAAAAATAAGGTGAAAAGCAATTGAGGAAGACACCTAACATTAAATTCTGGCCTATATATGCCCTTGTAGACCCACAAACATATACAGGCATACACACACATCAAAATAAACTTTAAAAACAAATTTAAGAGCTGGGCGGTGGTGGCACATGCCTGTAATCCCAGCACTTAGGAGGCAGAGGAAGGCAGTGAGTTCAAGGCCAGCTTGGTCTACAGAGTGAGCTATAGGACAACCAAAACTACACAGAGAAACCCTGTCTCAAAATAAAAATTTTTCAAATAAATAAATAAATAAATAAATAAATAAATAGATAGATAGATAGATAGATAAATAGATAAATAGATAAATGAATGAATGAATAAATAAATAAATAAATAAATAAATAAATAAATAAATAAATAAATAAATAAATGAATAAATAGGATTAAAGCCAGCATGGTGGTGCATGCCTTTAAGCTCGTACTTGGTGGCAGAAGATGGACCTCTGTGAGTCTGAGAGACTAAGGCTTGCCTGGTCTACGCAGAGAGTTCCAGGGTAACCAGGCTACATAGTGAGACCTTGTCTCAAAAAAAAAAAAAAAAAAAAAAAAAAAAAGTTTTTAAAATAAATAAATAGAGGTAGAGGATCCATTCTATCTCTCATCTTAGCTCAGTGTCCATTACACAAACTGATACTGTGCTTTTCTAAGGCATGTGTCTTTTAAGATTCTTGACCCAGGAATCACAAATCCATGGTAGTAAAAGAATGAGGCCTAAAAAACCACCACATGTATCTATAGCACAAACAGCAATCATACACTACTAGAACATGTGTTCAGAAAGTATCTACAGTCAACGTCTACTACACACGTATTCACTAACCTACATGAGCAAACAGAACGGTACAGGAGTGGGACAGGCCACTCAATGCAGAGAGCAAAATCACAAAGATGCTAAGAAATGTAAATATTCAGCATAAAAAAGTATGTATCAAATGTTAACCTCACACTAATAAGATTGTAAATATTTTTTTACTTACTTTGAATTTATAAATTTTATAATAATCACTTACTAATGAAAGTAAGTCACCTTTTCAAAAGGAACTAAAAACATGTTATTTCTTCTTTTAACATAAAATTCAAGAGCATCTCTCTCCAAGTAAGTCTGAGCTATACTTACCAGGAGTTCATCCATGCTAGTCTGACACTTCTCAAGGTTTATTCGTTTGATTGCCACCTTCTCCTTTTTGGGGGCACAATACGCTGCTTGGACCACAGCAGTTGCTCCACTCCCTGAAAAAAAATACATAAGAAAGTAAGTACATCTAGGAAAAAAAACAGCATTTCCACTACTACACAGTTTAAGCAGGGAAGAACAAGCCTCCCTGGCCCACAGGAACCTCAGGGCACTCGGGATGGCTCAGCAGGTAAAGGTCCCTCCTGCCACCAAGCCAGACAGCCTAAGTCCAAACCCAAGAACCACATGGTAGGAGGAGAGAACGGATTCCAACAAGATGGCCTCTGGCCTCCACACTGGCACCATGGCACTTGTGCACCCACATACACACACACAAACAAATGAATAAAAAATGTAATTCAGGAAAAAAGCCTTGGCTATTTCATGTCTATAGTGCAAAAAAGTTGAAATTCATTAGGATTCTAGTTCTGAAGTATGATAGCACAGAACCATACTCCCTGTTCTTTTCCAAATACAACTAAATACCATAAAAACAACTGAAATCACAAAAGAGCTTTGGAAGGAACAGAAAGGAGACAGACCACCTAGAGAACTCAGGACTAGATAACCTCATGCTGACTCCACTGCATTTTCCTTTTCTCTCTCATATTTTCCAGGCTGAACAGCAGAGGCTGGAACCCCAGAGCCAAGAAAAAAAGAACAGATGCACAGACAAGCCAACAAACTAGAAGAGCTGCCCTCTGGCTACAGGTCCACGAAAAGGGCAGCTCAGCACAGTCACAGTAGGTCAAAATATTCCCCAGTCCTCATCCAGGACAAGGACTGGCCCAAATGACCCCTGCACCAGCATGGACATGGTCCTCTACACCTTCAACAGCGGCAGGCAGACTCAGCCCTGTCCACACCTACGGCAATGCCAAGCCAAGCAGCCCTCAAAGTACTTAGAGTCAGGACAGGCCCTGCAGACATGGGCCAGGAGCTGGAGCAGTGCCAGAGCAGTATTACAAGAGCCCTGAAACTAAATTACCTTGAGGATTACAGCTCCCAAAAGTAGGACAGAAAGCTATACACGAAGCCTAAACAGGGTAACTGCTTGCAAAATACAAGATTAAAATAGGATCCGGAGTCTGCCGATATAATAACCCAAATGCCCAGAATATGATCAAAATGACATGATGTGGTGGTAGCACACCTATCGTTCCAGCACTTAGAAAACAGAAGCAGGTGGGTCAGTTCACAGTCACCCTTGGCAACACGACAAGGTGGAAATAAGCCTGGGCTACATGAGAACGAGACATGAGATCCCACCTCAACAGAATAATAAGAAAACAAATTCTCCATGAAGAAACGGGGTGGGGAGGTGTCAGTGGGTGAAAATGCTTGCTGCCAAGCTTGAAACCCTGAGTTCCGGCTCCAGGACCCACATGATGGAGAGAAGTGACTCCCAGAAGCATGTGTTGCACACACGTGCATGTGTGTGCGCATGAACACAGAAATGTAACTAACTTAGAAATGCATAGAAAGGGGATTGTGCTAGAGACTGAACACAGGGCCTTATGAATACTGAGCATAAACTCCACCTACAAAGCCCTGTCCTCAGCCCCAGAACGTTTTTGCTTGTTTTCAGTTTTGACACTTGTCTGAGGCTGACTGACAGCAGCAGCTAAATTGGCCAGGCTGCTAATTTACCTACAAAGGTTTGTTTAGCACACCAAATATATCTTCTCTTGATGTGAAGGAAAAAAGACAATGAAATGTGTACCCAGAGTTATTTTTAAAGTACCAAATGGAACTTTACAACTAAGATATATAATAACTGAGAAAAAGCATTTGCTGGGAGCTCAATGACATATAGACCACAGAGGATAAAATCTAAACTTAGAGACAAGATACTCTATCTGAGCAAAAAAAACGCTGAGGAAAAGCCTTAGGTAGCAGGAGGGTAACAGTGAGGATCCACACTCCAGGCAGTGTAGAATGTTCCCGCCCTGAGACAAAATGCTCTGTTCTCTCAAACTATAAAACATTAGCTTATGTGACGGGCGGGGGCTAGGCTCTGTAAGTGAGAGCACTTGCTGCTCTTGGGGGGACCTGGGCCGGCTCTCAGCACCCACTCGGTAGTCTATGACCTCTCTAACTCCACGCCCACGGAGCCCAAAGTCCTCATGTGACCTCCATGGGCACCAACCGTGCACAAGCGTACGTGCAGGAAAACATCTACACATAAAAAAGTGTTTTTTAAAGAAAGACTTGTTAGATACTACCAAATTGGAGATCTAAAGCTAGGCACAGTGGTGCCCAACTGTGATGCCAGCACTCAAGAGGCAGAAGCAAAAGATTAAGAGTCTCAGGCAGACTGAGTTACAGTGTCAGTTCCCGGGCAGCCTGAACTATGTGAGACCCAGTCCCAAAAACATAAAAAAGAAAAGTACAAATCTTGAGATTATTTTTGAATTATTTGGATGGGCTCAATGCGATTAAAAAAGATCCATGAAGTGAATGAGGGAAGCAGAAGTTCCATTAGACAAGATAATGACAGCAAAGGCTGGAAGTGATAAGCCATGAGCCAAGAAATGAATACTGACACAAGCTTGATACAGGGTAAACTTAAAAAATAAATTTAAAAAGGCTAAGTGAATGAAGTCCTCCATCAAAGACACAAAGTACCAAATTTCCTTTCTATAAGATGTTCAGAACATGTAAATCTGCAGAGAGAAAACAGTGCTTGCCAGGAACTGAGAATAAAGAGTGGAAGTGACTACATCATAAGCTAGTTTACTCCTTCTCTTAGTAATGACTATAAAACATCCCAAATGCAAAAAAAATTTACTCAAGTGGACATTTTTAAATGATAACTTTTAGCCAGGTGTAGTGACACACACCTTTAATCCTAGCACTCAGGAAGCAGAGGCAGAAGAATCTCTGAAGTCAGCCCATTCTACATAGCCAGTTCAAGAATGCTGTCTCAAAAACAAAAACCAACAAACAAAAAACTTGATCTTATTTTTTTTTAGAATAGTACAACCTTTACCTCCTAATCCAATAATTTTTTAAGGAGCACAGAGCAATGCTTCAAGAAAACCACCAAAACCTAGCCACAATGAAGAAGCTGAATGGATAATCTTAAAAGATTTTGGTTTCCCCCTTCTACCTCTCCCCAGTCCCCAAAAGAAGATTCAGGACATTTCTCAAGCCCTTTAAGGTTGTAAAAATTAAACTACAAATTTAATCTCATTTACATTCTCTTTGTTATGTCTAAAGAAGCTCCATTTCATTCTAGGCATCCTTCTTGGTGCTCACCAGCCATTTGTCTCTGACTCCAGTCCCTGGAAGAGAAGTTTCCCAGTAACCCTGACTCAGTGACCCAAACTCAAAAATATACCATCATGACCACCTACTTGTTATGCTAGGGCTAACTGCTTTTTTTGCTTCTGTAACTTGCTGACACAGATACCGAAAGATTGTTCTGAGTTGCCTTAACCACTTAACTAACTTGGCAGAACAGAACAGATTTAGTCTGCTTGCAAAGTCACTGAAAGTCTTGGTGTGGTTTTCAACTTTAAGAGTTCTTCCCTGAACCTCTCCTTCATGGCAATCCCAAACTCCTCAGAGATTGTTCATCCTACTAGCAGCTAATCAATAACTTATTGTAACTGGATTCGGTCTATGGTCTTTTCCCGGGTGTTATAAACTCCATAACATTTGGAGGCCCCTGGAAGAGCCCAGACTACAATAACTGCATTGAGTCCATGGTCTTTTCCTAGGGGTCACAAACTCCTTAACACTCTTCACCCACCCAACCTCCGTTCCTCCTCTTCCTCTCCTCTCTGGCAGATTCTTGCCCTCTTGACTGACATGGATTATTTTTAAATCTTACCTAAGTGGAATCCTCTCTCCATCAAAAATGAAATGTGCATTTCCAAGTCACTCCTCAAACTTCCCAGCTACAGCAACTACTTGATCCTGCACTAGTACTGGATAACTTATTAACTTGTTTTTCATATCTTGAGGGTAATCTATTTTAGCACTATCTTCACGCACATTCTGTGACTTTCTTCCTACATATTAACACGTCTTCCCTCCTATATATTGACATGACTTCTCTCCTACATATTAACACATCTTCCCTCCTACAAATTAACATGACTTCCTTCCTACATATTAATACATGACTTCCTTCCTACATATTAACACATCTTCCTACATATTAACACGTCTTCCTACATATTAACATATTTTCCTACATATTAACACGTCTTCCTTCATATTAACAGTCTTCCCTCCTCCATATTAACACGTCTTCCTTCCTACATACGAACATGTCTTCTCTCCCACATATTAACCCACATGATGCCCTCCACCTTTGAAAGCCTGCCTCAAAACTCACCTATTTTCAAGCAGCACCACTGAAGAGACTCGGATTCACACTCTAGCTCCACTACTAGTAACAGAATAAATTTCCATTTCCCAACCGTGTGCCTGGCAGAGAAATGCTCAATTAATGATTGCTATTATTCCCTTATTTACTCATTACATAATTTTAGTCATGTAAACTGTTCAGATACATGTGTGTCTCAAGTATTATTTGGCCTAGGGTGACCTTATTAAGGGTTAAAAGTACTTGATCTTTACCAAAACATAGAAGTGCAAATTATCCCTACCAGCTTTCCACCCTTTCCACATTTTAATCACTAGAATGATCACACACTACACATGTTCTTGTATAGTGAGCCACAGACGGAAATGCATTAAGCGCTACGGGGGAAGTGCTCCTTAGATTTTCCTCCCCTCCTTCTCTCTTCTCACATTCTTCTCAAATATAAAGCAATTTCAAGAAAGTGTTGGCAAGTGAGCAAGAAGAAAAATGCTTTCTGTATTGCATAGTAACTGTACTAATGAAAAGTCTTCAGCAGACTGCTGAATATAAAACTTAAAATGTTTCCACTATTCTGAAGGAAACCTACCTAGACTCCTTTATAACAAGCATTTACTTTCAGTAGAGTTTAACTTTATTTTTTATTTTATGTGCACTGGCATTTTGCCTGTGTATATGTCTGGGTGAGGATGTCAGATCTTGGAGTTTCAGACAGTTATG